GTTTATTTTTATTCTGATGACAGTTTCATGAATGCATATATTGTCAAATGTATCAGACAGTATACTTTACATGTGCAGATTTTGTATGTCAATTATGCTTAATAGAGCTGGTTTTAAAAACTACCCAAAAGCTACCAAATCTGCTTTCCTAAAGTCGACCTTAAGTTCTAAGGGATTCAGGCATGACATGTTTAGCATTTAGATTCCCATAGTTGCCAAGAACAGTTATATTTTGTTTCTGTTTATTTGTTTAAATATTCTTAAAATGAAATTCTGTTAATTGGCAAGGAAAGGAAGCAGCAGAAATTCACATCATCTCTCGGTGAGGATAAATTGGTATAATCCCTATGTATCAGTAGTTTCCTTCTAGCTGTGTAACAAAGACAGCAGTTTTCAAACTGTTTTACTTTAGGATTCCTTTGTATCATGTTATTGGGGAATCAAAGAGCCTTAGGCCTTTGTGGTTCATACCTGTAAATATTATTGTAGTTGCTCTGTTGGCACTGTTGGGTAAGTATTGGATGGCTAGCCACAAGGTGGGGGGTTCAAACCCACTAGAAAGATGAGTCTGTCTACTGCCATGATGATGTACAAAACCTCTGAAGCCCAGGGTTACTGTGAGTCAGAATTCACTCAGTGGCAGTCAGTTTTCTTTGTTATGTTAACAAACATGTTTATGCAAACAAGACTTTTAGGGAAAATATGCATTCTATAAAACAAAACAAATCATAATAATGGTATTGTTTGGTTGAAATATGCAAGAGGATAATCCGGCCTCACACAGTATATAGCTAAGCTAGAAAAGGAAAAGACTTTTCAGAAAATTTGTGAATAATTTTCTTTGATATTACACTAAGACCTTCCAAACAGTTTCATAAATATAACTTGCAATGTTGAACTGAAACCACATAAAATTTTGTCTACTGTTAATTTAAAATCCATTGGTGTGTCTTTTTCTTTGAGTTTTTTACTCATGCGTACTTTTGTAATGTTTTAAAGTAGTAATTTTAAAAATATAGATTCACTGAGCTGTTCATGTCTTTTGCTTATTAACATATTTCATTTTATTATATGGCATGATATTCTTTAATATCACCAATGATCTTATCAGAAAGTTTCCAAAAAGCTGGGAATGCTTACTTAGCAAACAGTTTTCTAAAATTCTAATTTTCATTTGAAAGTTTGAATTTTATTATTGGCAACCAATAGTGTTATTTTCTTTGAAGTGATCAATTCACTTTCTTTAATTTCAAGAAAATGTCAGCTGAATGCCAGATCTGACACACTGTCTCATGCTAACGTGCCATGATTTGAAGTCTGCCAGTTGTTCTTTCCAGTAAAGATGGCATCCCATCAGAAGATGCTCAGTTCAGCTGACAATTCAAATGCTCTTTTTGAGGCAACTGTGGGTCAGTGTTCTCTACCAGAATTGCTTTATGTGTACCTTCCATTTGGTCACATAGAACAAGGTCAGAGAATTTTTTCTAAAAGGGATCAGATAAGAAATATTTTAGGCTTTGTGGACCAGTGAGTTGAATTTGAATCAGTGTCAGGACGACTCAACTATTTCATTATAGTGTAAAATTGCCATAGGCAAAAAGTACACAAATTTGGACAAGGTTGTATTCTAATAAAACTTGATTTGCAAAAACAAGAAGCGGACCAGATTTGCCCATCAAGTGGAGTTAAGTTTGAATAAAATTAGTAACTTTTTGGCTTCATCAAAGGCACATTCTTTTGTAAAGCTGATTGTGTGTGTGTATGTGTGTGTGTGTGTGTGTGTGTGTGTGTCTGTGTGTGTATAGAGTAAAATGACAGTGCAATTTGGTGTCATGGACTCAATACTAGAAATTTCAACCTCCATTGCTTTCGTATTAGGTGGCTATAGAAGAGTGTTTCTAATAGCATTATTTCTAACAGCAGAAATCCAGAAATAGCTCAAACAGTTGACAGGAGGAAAGATAAATATCTTAGATCATGCTATCAGAGGAAGCAAATGATATACAGCCACAAGTGACGGAACAGATGACTCCTATAAATAAAATACTGAATTAATGAAAAAAATCACAGAAGATCATATACTTTGTGATACTATTAATATAAAAAAGGAAAAGCAGATAAAACTAAATATTACTTAGAGAAATTTTTAACATATACCAAGTTTGTTTTGTTTAAAGGCAAAATTCATCTCAGTAGTTAACATGTTTATTGATTTCTACGCAATACAATTTAAAATCCAGAAAGATTTGTATCAGCATTGCATCCTCTCACCATTCTGATTCAGTCTGTATGCTGAGCACATTATCCGAGAAGCTCATCTACAGGGAGAAGAAAACGACAAGAGGCTTGGAGAAAGTAGTCGTATTTATTAGATTCCAAACCAGAAATGTGGCATTTTTCAAGATTCTTTATGTTCCTTAATTCCAATATTCATTTGCTCACTGGCAAATCTTGCAATAATTTTTCTTTATCTTTTCGGTTCTATTTGTTATCTCCAACAACTGCCTCTTTTAAAATTCATGTTCCGCTCCTCTCTGACTCTCAGCATTTTTTCATCTCTTAGTATATCCTTTCAAGTAGAGGTGACTACCCTTTGTCCTTACCTCTACCGTACCTTGCTGAATTATGTGGTGGACTATAAAATACTATAAAATACTGTATAAAATACTTTTCCACTAAAAAAAGAAAGTAAAAAACTTCCAGTGACTTTCCTTTGCCCGTTGAGTGAAGTTTAAACTTGTTCGAGGCAGAGCTGAGTCTCCTTATTGGCCATTCCCTCTCTCCTTAGCCGAAGCGACTCCCCAACACCTGCGCTCACACCTTCACTGTGCATATCTGTAAACGTCACTCAAGCCCTTCCCCTCTCTCATGCTGAAGGTGATTCTTTCAGCTGTCCCTCACATGGCTCCAGTCCCCAGAACCTCTTCATTCTCTGCTGTGCTCTCATAATGAATGTGTGTCAAACAGTGTTCACATTGATGTTGAGGACTTACTCTGTTCAGACTGTGTGTGATCCTTACAGTAGTCCTGAGAGGTAATCATTATGACCCCATTTTGAAGGCGAGAGTGTGAGAGGAGCAGAGGGTAAGTGATCTGCTCCTGGGTATCCACCGACTCACCTGGGGTCTGGAAGTGTGCTCTTTCTGTTCCTCTCACAGGGGTTTTCTGTTACCTGAATGCATGTGTGTTCTCTGATGAGAAATCCATTTCTGTATCCCCAGAGTCCAGTTTAAAAAAGAAATCTGACTGACAAGGGATTCCATGTATAAAGTAGTGCCATTATAGAGATTCAGAAAGCAGTGTTATAAAGAATGAACTGTAGCGTTCACTAAAATAGGGGCTTTAAAATAAATTTTATTCAACAGATGCTTAGTGTACATGGTGAAGCACTGTACATTGGGACAGTCACTTCTTCCATGAGAAGAGGACATGTGAGAGCTCTGTATGAGAGGACATTAAGATGGTGCACATCTGATCTGAATACCTAGCGGGAAAAGACTCTTTGGGGTTCAAGGCCGAGAGAGGCGCTGCATGGGACTGCCTTTGAAAGGCATCAGGAAAGGTTTCCTGAAGTAAAAGAGGAAAGTACTATGGGGGCAGGGCATTGTTCAGGGAAATTGGGATGATAACTGGAATTTAAAAAATAAATGTAGCCCATGTAAAATTCAAAACCATTACTGACAGCCTTTATTCTAGAATTGAAGTGCCATTCAGTAAGGAAGCATAATTTTTAAGTATCTTAGATATTGTGTAATATAGGACAGAAGCAGAGAAATGTATAAAACAAATGTCTAACTGAATGATTACTGACTGGATTTTGAGTAGGAAAAGGTGGCTTTGTCTCTGCATGTGTTGCATGGACTTCCTAGGAATTGAGTATCACATGTAGTTCTCTGCCTGGTGGGTGTGACTTGTACTGGAAGCCTTGCCACCTCTTGTCCTGACAAGGTCATCCCATGCTGTCGAAAGCACTTTCAGGTCACACTGCCCCAGTGTAGCTTAGCTGTTGCTCCTTCTCACATAATATTTGTTTGCCTTAATTTGTTTTTGATGGAAATAACCTACTTTTCTGAATGCTGAGCACCGATAAGTCTTTCTTTTACTTAAGGTACACCTGGAATTATATCAATAGTATATAGCTGTGGGCCACAAAGTTATTGTAAACTTAGATCAAATTTGATTTATGCATAAGGGGTATTTTATGAAGGCCTCTGTGGGTATAGTGGCGTTCTCTAAGCTTTTATTACCTGCTCTAGTGTGCCCTCAAGTGACAAGTGTCATTATCAGCATCCATCAAATGGAAATGTGCTTTACACAATTGATGTATGTATGGATTGTGATAAGAGTCATATGAGCCCCTAATAAAATGATTTTTAAAAAAAAGGAAAGTTCTCATGAAGTACACTTTTAACTAAACCAAAAACACGGAACCAAACCCAGTGTCATCGAGTTGATTCTCACACCTAGCAGCCCTCTAGGACAGGGCAGCACTGCCCTGTGGGTCCCCATGACTGTAACGCTACAAGCGGAGAAAGCCTTTCTCCCACAGAGCGGCTGGTGCTTTTGCACTAGTGACTGCTGGTAGCAGCCCCCGCAAATACTTGTGTGTCACTGCATTCAAATGGTGTGTGGAAAGAGTGTCCACATGTCGGAGACATTTTGCTAGGTGTAATGAAAAAGATTAATGTGAGGCTTAGCTCTCATAGCATTTATAATTTTTTAAGATTACATTGATAGAAGCAAACATAAAATTCAGAAGAGTGACTAAAGGAGAATTCAGTACAAAGGTCACGCTCAAGAATAAATGGATAAATTGGGTAAGTAAAGTATTTTAGTGTCCATATATAAAAATACTACAATTTAATATATTTAATATTTTATCAGCTATGGTCAGCAGTCATTTGGTAGCCTTCTTTTAATGAATATGTTTAAATGTTTGAATTTTGAGATGAGTTCTCATATGCAATGAGTAATACCATTGGTATCTTCCATTCTCATAGATCTGATCCAGGCCACCAACGAGACCAATGTGAATATTCCTCAGATGGCGGACACGCTCTTTGAGCGAGCCACAAATAGCAGCTGGGTGGTTGTATTTAAAGCTTTAGTGACGACACATCATCTCATGGTGCATGGAAATGAGGTAAACCATAACTGAAGTATAGGAGTTTCCATTGTTTTGTGATGGGGAATGGAGGCTTTTAGAGAAGTCTATGGTAGGATTTTGAAAATTGTAGGGAAGGGAGGCTTTCATGGAAGTCCATGGCTTATTTACCTAAGGTTTTTCAGTTTTTTAAATCATTATAATCATCTCATTCTAATTTTCTATTTAGCTACTTCTCAAAAGTTAGATTGGGTATGATACTGGAAAAATTAAAATATTACCTATTGTTAATCCTAAAATTCGTATGCAGTGTACATATATTGAGCAAAATAATAACTTGAAGAAAAGAATGATATGCTGGGTTTTTATCTCCATAGGAAGCGTTCTGTGTGCCTTAGTAGAAAAATTAATGTCATAGAAATGTTTAGTTTTGGAGAATACAGATAAATTTTTAAAAACTCATTTTATATGGAATACCTCTTGAATCCTATTAATTTTCAGTGTTTTAATTATATGTAGAAATAACAGATCATATAGCTTAGTTCTAATTCAGTGAAAAATATTTAAAGTTCTCCTCACCTAGAAATTCAGTTAACTAGAAAGCTTTGTAAATGAATAAAAGAAATCTCAGTGAGAATTTATAATAACTTTTCCTCTGGTAACAGAAATTGTTTCAAGGCATGATTTGAGAGAATGGTGCTTATATTTTAATTTTTGTTTTTCAGAGATTTATTCAGTATTTGGCCTCTAGAAATACACTATTCAATCTCAGCAACTTTTTGGATAAAAGTGGATCACATGGTGAGACTGCTTTTGTGATATGTTAAGTAATAAGTATTATAGGCATAGTCAGACCTATTAGATTCACTTTATACTGTTTTGCTAATGCTTTTGATGCTGAAATAAAATTTTTTCAAAGTACAGTGATTAATTTAAAAACATTGGACCCGATAAGCCCAATGTAAAATTTAAGAGATTTATAAAAACAATCTATATAAAATAACTTTGAAATATTTAATTCTAGGCAACTCAGCATATAAAATACATTGACTTTATTCTTATAATTTTCAGTATTTGTGTAAAGAGTAATAATGGGTATGCTAGACCCACAGTTGTGTACCTTATAAAGGTATAGGAGACATGAATTGAAAGATGCTTTTCCAGTTAAATAAAATGTGATACCAGTCTTAGACATTTTGTTTGTGAATTGATGGGGTTTGAACTGGAATTATTTACCAGATTTACTGGTTGTATACTATATATTAAGGGTATACCAAGCCAGTGGGTATAAGCATTAAGTATGAAACAGGCTTATATTTGAAATAGTGAATGAAAATAGGAGGGAAATAAAATTAAAAAGACATTCTGTTCAAGATAATAGTATAGCTAACTTGAATAGTGTCAGTGATTCATATCAAAAGTGTTTTTGTCTGGAAATAGCATAGATGTTAATTGAAGCTGGCACCTGATACACTTATTGGATTTTGGAATTATGTACATTTAGGGAGCTAAAAATTTTACTATTAAGTAAAGCACAATGGAAATATTTCATTAATCAGTTTTATATCCTCCCCCCAGGCTATGATATGTCTACCTTCATAAGGCGCTACAGTAGATATTTAAATGAAAAGGCTTTCTCTTACAGACAGATGGCATTTGATTTTGCCAGGGTGAAGAAAGGGTATGTTTTTTCTTCCTCATATTTCTTTGGGCAGAATGAATTCTTGTGTATTTGATTTAATCCAATAAATAGTTCAATAATAATCTTACTGAAGTTAACTTTGGGGTTGTGATATGCATTGCTTTATTTATAGCATCATGTAGAAAGTATGATTTGCTTTTTAGTATTGACGTGCTTACTATTTTACTTGTTCAAATTAATGCAACATTCCAAACCATCCATTACCAAACCCAAACCAAAGCCATTGCTGTCAAGTCAATTCCAACGCAGAGTGACACTATAGCAGGGTAGAACTTCCCCATCGGGTTTTCAAGACTTTAAATCTTTGCTGAAGCAGGCCGTTCATCTTTCTCCGGAAGAGCAGCTGGTGGGTTCAAATCATCAATCTTTGGGTTTGCAACAGCGTGCTTAACCACTGCGCCACCAGGGCTCCTAAACACAAACATGTGCACGCACACACATGCATGTGTATGTATATGTCTACATAACCCCAAACCCATTGCCCGCACATTGATTCTGAATCATAGGGACCCGACATTTGGTTTCTGAGACTGTGAATCTTTACTGGGCAAATAGCTTGGTCTTTCTCTTGTAGAGTGGTTGGCAGGTTTGAACCTCTGATTTTGTGGTTACCAGTTAACCTTCCAACTCCTAACCCACAGCACCATGAGGAATATATACATAATATAATATTTCATATATATATATATATATAT